GAAGGAAGGAAGGAAGGAAGGAAGGAAGGAAGGAAGGAAGGAAGGAAAAAACACATTTTACACAATCTCCCTGAAAAGCATTGTGCTAAGTCCACTGATAGCATTTATGAATAAGACAGAACTAAGAAGTACATATGAACTGTAATGCTGGGATAATATGAGTAGCTTATAAATCATGCCAAAATAAGCAATTTGACATATGAACAAAAAGCTTCAGAGAAACAAAAGAGGAAGTGGATGTGGCACAGTGGTACATCACTTGCTTAGCAAAATCAGTCACAGGTTCCATTTCCAACAGGAGAAGGGTTTGTTGGGGCAGGGGAGGGGGTAGGTAATTTGTTCTATCTAGAGGAAGGCTTTAAGGAGAAGGTGACATTTTAGATGAGTCACAGTTAATAGGCATTCTCAAGGAGAGAAATGAGGTAAGAGTACCACTTCTATTTGCAATGGTATATTAGCAGGTACTATGCACAGGGAATGTGATACAGGGGAATTGTTGACTTTACATGCAAAATTCTAAATTATGGAATATTTTAAAAAATAAATGCATAGCTGTAATCCCATCAACTGAAAGGCTGAGGAGGAAGAGGCTAAAGACAGAGGATCCTAAGTTTGAGACCAGCCTGGGATATAGAGTAAGACTTGGTCTCAAAACACACACACACACACACACACACACACAAACACTCCCCCACATGCACAAAGAGACAGAGACATTTGCATCCCCATATTCACTGCAGCTCTGTTCATAATAGCCAAGACATGGATGAAATCTGCCCAGCAATTAATAAAATGATGGAATAGTATTCATTCCCAAAAGGAATACATTCCTGTCATTACTTCAACATAGATGGAATTGGAGATCTTTATTTTAAATAAAATAATGGAGGCACGGAAAGATAAGCACCACATGATCCTACTCATGTCTGGAATCTTACAAAAGCTCAATCTATACACATGGGGAGCAGAAAAAAACTGACTATCAGAGCCTGGGGACAATGGAAAGAAGGAGGATGGACAAAGAATGATCAATAGGAACTTAGCTGTGGTTGGAGAAAGCAAAGAACCCCGGAATCTTATCTCATAGGACACTGGGCTGGAGTCAGTTCACCCATTAAGAAAGCTTACTGCTCTCACAAAAGAGTTGGTTTCAGTTCTCGGCACCTACATGGCAGTTCACAGGCACCTGCAATTTCAATTTTAGGGGTACCCACATTTTCTGCCTCCAAATACTGCATGTACATGTATTCATACAGGCTCACATACATACAAATAAGTATAAATTTAAAAACCAGAAGAAAAGACTTTAGAAAATTTCATGATAAAATGATAAATTTTTGAGAAATTTAAGCACATTATTCAATGTATACAGATATCTAAATATTACATGAAACCATATTAATATACATGAACTTTGTTTTAAACTTATCAGTGAAAAGACATTTTAAAATCCCAATGGTTATTGAATATGCAATATCAACATATAAAGTCCCAACATAATTAAAGTATTTCTAAAAATTTTATCTAATCAGATGTCAAGGATGCTGTGTACTGTGTATGCAATAGCCAAGGAACATAAATCATGAAAATGGCCCTTGAGATGGCAGTACCACTTCAGCCAATAATCAGAGCAAGCCTTCAGTCTCTGACAACATGATATTTGAGTTATGAAAATTTGAAACTACAAGAGGCGTTCAAAATGCCTACTTTACATAAAACGGAGCTAGTCTTCAGTTATGTATTTGGAAAGAAGGTAAAAGGGGGTTCAGGAAAAGTCTGGGTTATGGAAGAGTAGAAGGACACGGGCAAATCTTTCTACCCAATGACAAGACAGCAGAGAAAGAGGAGTACTATATTTAAGGACACGAGAACCACATTGGTAAGACATTTGGGGAAACATCCCTACTGACTGAATATATGATGGCATTAAAGGGTTTTTGTTTTTAAGGTATAACAAAACTACTATAGTAGTAACTATTATTTTTAATTGATAAAAAAATTAGGACCTGAATTCTGAAAGAGATCAGGAATATGGAGTGTGACTTCATTTACAGACCTCCACCCCCCAAGAGCACTGTGGGAACGAGTAAGGGCACAGAAAATGAATCTATACTCAACCTCCAGAAATTGGCCAGACTGCCATCTGCTTTTCTCTTCTGCTTGCTGAGAGAATGTTTTCTTGACTTGCAAGCCCCGTGTCAACTCAGGCTTTGTGTTAATTTTTTTCATTGTGCTTCTCCAGATGCTTTCTTCCACCATTTTATAACTATCTAATGCAATCAATAACCTGTGTGGATTAATCCCCTTTTGTGAAAGGGGAATCAGTAAAATCCTGCTAGCAGGAGCAGGTATGGAGGCAGCTGAAGAGTACAGCGCTGAAGCCATCAAGAACTGCTTTACGTGGGCAAAAGAGATGGCTCAGTAGTTAAGAGCTTGTGGTGCTCATGCAGAGGACTTAGCTTCAGCACCCACTACTCCCAACTACCTGTAACTCCAGTTCAGGGGATCCAATGTCCTCTTCTGGCCTCTGTGGGCACATTCACACTCATGGTGTACACACACACACAATTTTAAAAAATAACTGTTTTACTAAACACAACTTTACTGACCTCTGGACCTCCGTAATCAATTTAAGCTACCATTTTTCCTACATTCCTACCTGTCTCTGACTGACTAGCTTCATTCACTGGTAGAAGAAGGAGAATCAAAAGAATCTGTTAGCAGAGTAGGAAGGCCATCCATTTCTATAAGGTTTTTTGTTTGTTGGTTTGTTCGTTTGATTTTTTTTTTTCCTACCAGGGCATTCAATGATACTGAAGTTATAATATAAGCATGTGTAGTAAGATGCAATATTTTCTCTTTTTTATTCTTTTAAAAAAGATTTACTTTTACCTTTAATTATGTATACACCTATGGGTATGCGGACGGGAGTCTAGGTGTCAGTGGGGGCCAGGTGCTGGGAACTGAAGCTAAGTCCCCTAAATGAGGACTAAGTGCTCTTAACCACTCTTTAGCCCAGTAAAGCAGTTCCTGAGGGCTTCATCACTGTAATCTTCAACTCCACCCTGCTCCTGCTAACAGGATTTTACTGATCCTTCTTTCACAAAAGGGCATTAATCCACACATGACTTATGGATTACATTAGATGCGTATGAAATGATGGAGGAATGAATATGAGAGGCACAAGGAGACTGAATTCCCTGGACTTGGAATTACACGTGGCTGCGAGCTGTCTGATATAGGAGGAATTGTACCCAGGACCCTCTGCGAAAACAGTATATACAATGAACCATTGAGGCATCTCCTCAGGCCTACACATGATATTTTCATTAATAAGATCATTGGTGCTGATTTATAAATAGATACAACAAGGAAGTGCCTAGTTAAAAATTGTAATGTGTTTTCCTAGAGTCTATGCTTTAGGCCTAGAATACCAAGGAAGCCAAAATTCTGAGTCTTAAATATAAAAGGGAGACAATTTCGTAAATTCCCCCTTCTTCCAAGGCTATTTCTTGTACAAAGAGTGTTGCCTACGATAACACTATCAGTAGGAGAGCTTGCACTGAGCTGGATATGATCTACAGTAAGTCGCTTTGCTGAATACACTATTCAAGCATATCCAAAATAGAAACTGAACAAAGAAGCTATGAAAACAAATACATACTCAATGCTCTGATAAGAGAATGTTACAAGCCCTGTTCAAACAATCCATCCAGGATTGTGTGTCTATCCACCAAGCCGGCTTTGTGGTTTGTCAATTTCCTACCCAAACTGTCTGCAATGGTGCTTAAATTACTGCTCTCTCTTGCTCCATGGCTTTGAAAAAAAAATGTTAGGTTGTTATTTAGACCTTAGTATTTTAGTAGCTTCCTCAAAGAATATCATCACGTTTTCCTTCTGGACATATTGATTTCCTGGGTACTTGTTAGGTGGAAATGAATCCATCCCCTGGCAAGTATTTCCTGGGTGTTAAGGCTTCTCCGAGCAAGCTTCTTAAGAGAATGTACGAGAGAGTAGCTGTCAAGGTTTCTTCTTGCTTTCATTCCAACTGTCGTGCAGCTAGAACTTCATGTGGGACTCCTAAAGTGGGAGTAGGGACTGTCTGTAACTACACTGCCTGCCTTTGGATCCTTTTCCCTTAACTGAGGTGCCTTGCCTATGCTCAATAGGAGAAGATCCACCTAGTCTTACTGCAACTTGATATGCCAAGGCAGGTCGATATCTAGGGGAGGCCTTCCCTTTTCTGAGGAGAAAGGGCGTGGGAGGAGGGGAGGGGAGAGGGAGGGGCTGGGAGGAAAGGAGATGCAATTGGGATGGAAAGTACATTTATTCACTAGCATTAGCAATGCTTTTGTTTGCACGTACCAATGATTACCTTTTAAATATGATCAAAATAATTTTAGTAAGAATCCTGATACGCAGTACAATTTATCCTATATTCTGTATAAAAGTCACTATAGGACAAAAAAAAAAGAAAAACAAAAATAAACAAAAACAACACAACCCATGCACTACCTGCTTTATTTGCTTGTTCTCTACAGCATGTCCTAGTTGGACAGTCTAAAGAAGAGTCATCCAAGCAATGAGTTTACAGCCCTAGAATTCTGGTGACTCACTAGGATGACTAAGGAT